TGAATTGATAATTTGATATTGTTGAATGTTGATAATTTTTAAATTGTAGAAAGTAGAGTAGAGAATGAGAGGATTGGTGGGAAAAAATGTTGATTGGGGATAGGTATTTATAGAGAAAAAAATGCAAAAAAATAAAAATAAAAATCAGTAACCAAAACGGTCACTGAATTTTTCAGAACGAAATTCAGTGATCGTTCTAGTCACTGATTTTGCCTTTTTATTTTTATTTTTATTTTTATTTTTTTAAATAAAACGAGCCCAACACGAGCGGGCTCGGCTCGTCTAGCGGGCTCGCCCACTCGGCTCGTGCTCGAGCTCGTCTTTTAACGAGCCTGAGCGTCTCGTGGGCTGCTACAGTACGAGCCGAGCGGGTGAGCTAACGAGTCGCTCGGCTCGATTGCCACCCCTAGGCCTCAATCGAGTATGTCTGACATCTGTAAATAAAGATAAATATATGGTAGAAAAGTGGATAGTACTCGTAAGTCATGTGAAATATGTGGATAAAAAGCGATTTGATAAAAAAAAAAAAAAACTAATGTATGTATCAACACCTAGAAACAATAAGTCAAAAACACGCTCAATATATTGAGTTAGATTGTATATAATTATACAATAGACGTTTTTTAGTTCTTTTTTTATAATAATACGTCCATAGTCCATTTTAGCAGATGAGACATATAGATATGTGTGGTTAGATCGAACAACATTCAAATGGATTAATCAACTATTAGAATTCTTATGCTTGGTCTTCGGAGTCCTTAGAATTTATGGGTGTTGGATTTTGTTAGGGTACTGTTGGAAGGTATGAGACTTGAACTCAACATAAAAAAACACGAGCTTTCGGTGTAAAATTTATATGGATTTGGACTTTCCAATATGAACAACTAACTTTTAGGGCATGCTCGAGAGTTTCATGTTACCGATTAGCATTTTTGAAAATATCAATTTTGAGTGTGTATGAATGAATCGACTTTGAATGATTTTAGCAGCGATTTTTAAAATTATTCAACACATGCTTAAGAATTTATTATTCATGATTCGGAAAGTTTTTTAAAACAATAAAATTACATATACGTCCCTTAGTGAAATTTTCAACTTATAGTTTCTTGTATGAAATTTTTTACTTATAAGTAATATTTTCTTACAATTTTAAGTTAGTATTTTTACTTATAAGAAATTTTTTAAATTTTATGAGTGAATTTTTATTTTATTGGTAGTATTTTCATTTATAAATAATTTTTTTTTACATAAAAGTGATTTTTTTTTATTTATAAGTATTTTTTAACTATAATTTAATTTTTTTGGCTTATAAATATTTTTTTAGTTAATATATTTTTAATTACAAGTTAATTTTAAATAAAATATGTTAATTGTAAATAATTAGTTTATAGAAGGTAAAATTAGAAAAGAATATAAAAAGCAATTAAAATTCATCGATTCGGTGAGTTGGGATGACCAATCAAAATTACACTACACAAATTATGGTCTCTTTTTTTCTTACAAATGCTAAAATTAGGCACATTCTTGGTCTCTCTTTTTTTCTTACAATTGATAGTGTGATAGTATTGGACTTGGCTTATTTTTCACAATACAATAAATAAAAGAAACAATTCGCAAATACCCTTAATAACTTTACTAATTATAGTAAATTCATAATTATTTTTAAATGTTTATTATTCTAAGAAGATTGATTTTTATTATTGCTAATTTTAATTTTTTTATAATAAATTTTGTAACACATTTGTGTTACATTTTATAATTTTATGCTATACATATTTTATCATCTTATTTCCACCATTGCCACATTCGTTGCCATCACTTGTAACACATTGTGTTGTTACACACATTTTATTGTCGATTTTCATTGCCATCGTAATTGCTAGCATGAACATCGCTTGTAAAATTTATTGTTATAATTGTCATCCCCATCACCACAATACCCTAATAAACTCTGTTGCCATTAGCACCCGCCATCTCCACCCATGTATTCCCTCGCTACCACCACCAACTAGAAAAAGAAGAAAGATATTGATCAACAACTACCACTCACACCACAATAATAGCGGAACCCCAATCCTCTTCCCACAAAAACGCAATCAAAACCAAAATCTCACGACAACAACAAAAATCAAACAAATAACTCAAACCAAAATCAAAATCATACCTAATTTTAGATCTAAAACACTGATTTGAAATTGTTATAACAATCGATCGATGGTGGTGCATGGTGATGGAAGGAGGTGGTGTAGGAGATAGGTGGTGGCGGCGGATCCGATGGAAGTGGTTGATGGTCCAAAAGTGGTGATGCAGGTGGTGGATGGTTATTTGTGTGTAATTATTGTGGCCACCATTTGATAAATTTGTTCTGAACTTGGTATTCCTTGTATGTGTATGTGCATGATGGCACTGCGTCAAAATGTTACCGTTAAAATTGCCTTTTCTTTTAAAAATGTGTATTCCGCAGGTAAATTTCGACCGCTTTAAGAGCTTACACGACGCCCTACTTATAGTTTTGCTAGAGGCCCCCAACCGCGGAGCCTGGATATATTTTTGGGTGGGGCAAAAACTATATAGAAAAAATAATTTTAAATAATATAACTATAATTGTTCCCGAAGCGTTTTCATATTTCGAAAACATCGTATAATTATATCATTATCAATTTCGTTAAATATATTTTTCTCAATAGATAAAATACCACTTTGTTTTATTACTAAATCATTTCAAGAAACTGTTAATTAAAATCTTTTAAAAAGTACTTGGAGATTGCACACAGACCAGACATGAAGATTAAATTACCAATTCCCTTAATCACTGCTCTCCGAGCCCTAAATTTTCTCTAAACAAATAATTAGAAAAATGAACCAGATTAAAAATGCAATGAGGAAGTTCTAAAACTTAAAATGATGTTAATGTTTAGTTCTATATTTTTGAATTTACGGAATACGTAACTTTAGACAGGAAGTTTAGCTTTAGTGGGGCCAACAAATCTTAATTGATAAAAATCATATCCTACTTCGAGATAGCCCGACAGTGGCAACCTTCAATTTTCAAGGTTGATAGGGGTGTATTTGTTGCTTCGCAAATCATTTGTAATTGAGGCTAAAATTGAATTATCATAATAAATATATTCACAAAATCTTGATTTCCCATATTATCCCTATATTTATTTAAGAAAAAAACACAGATACACACAATAGGCATATAATATTTTATTACGAGAATTGAATCACGTAAACTCAAATCTCCACCCACAAATAACACTGAGAATAATAAGATGTTAAGAAGTGCATAATATGATAGAAATGAAGAACCTTTTGATTCAGATTTTTTGGATGACAAGTGGACCACCCTTGCCCAAGTATAGCTCCGCCCCTAGAGGTCCCACCTAATAGAGTCCAAATGGATGGTAACTGGCGGGAATTAAAATATCTTTATTTATCGTTGTGTTTACTTTCTTTTTTATTTTTTAATACAATTTAAATTAGAAAACATAAAAGTAAAAAAAAAAAATAGAAATAAGACGGGTTCGGGTATTTTGGAGCGAAAAATTTAGCCATCCCTCTGATTTGAATTGGACTTATAGAATGTGGTATAAATGAATATGGAATTTTATAAGAGATAAGTCTATAGTTTAATATAGATAAGATTATTCAATTTTTAAACATCCATCGGCCAAAATGGGTGATAAATTTAAAAAGATGAACGTGATATGTGCTAATCAATTGCAATTAACAGGAGTAATTGTGTTGATTTTGGTTTGAATATCGTTTTCTATTTTCGATTTTTCAAAACAGTGAAAATGCGATCTCTTTCTTATTTTCGAAAACGCGTTTTTGAAAACAAGTTAAAAATTTACAAAGAAAACACAAAACGACAAATTTATCGTTTTCGGTGTTTTTAGTTATAATCAAGCCAAAATTTTCAAAACGCGTTTTGGGTGTTTTCAAAACAATTTTTCAAAATGTCAAAAAGAACACATTTTCAACATTTTCAAAATTGAACACTCAAAACACATAACACATAACACAAAATAAATTCAAAACTTAAAACACAAAACTAAAGTACAAAGAGAAGCACTTTTACAAGTCAATATATAAACATGTGCCTTGAGAAGTTAATTTTGAAAAGGAAAAATCCGTCCAATCAGATTAGATCAGCAAAACTCTTATAAAGTTATAGCCCGTATGATAGAAATTAAAATCGAGATTTTTATGAAAATCAAAGTCAATAATTAATTTTAATTACATATTTTATGAGATCCACAATTTTTCAACTATACATTTCATTAACTCTTATCAAAATATACTAAAAATCTGATTTTAATCTCCACTAAAACTTAAAGAAAATGAACCAGCAAGGAGCCAAGGAAAGTCATTGGGAAGTGATAAGTATGCTTTTGCAAACTTATTCAATACCTAAATAAGCCTAGATATTGATTAAAAGAGTGGATTTCTACTCATAACTGTGTAATTATTGTTTTTGTAGATAAAAATCACTTAATGAAATAAAACAAGGGAAAAAGAAGTGAAAATGAACGAAAATCATACAAAATTGTGAAGTTGGGGACAAAATTGCATAATTCATAAAGTTTAAGGACCTTAGACTGCAATTTTATAAAGGCATTGATATAAAAGTCAAAATTAGAGGATTTAATTGTACTAAACAAAAGTTTAGGGACCAGAAGTGAAATTTTCAAGAGAACTTGTGTGTAAAAAGAAAATTAAAAAAAGAAATGAAACGTGGAAACAAAGTTTTTAACAGAGAATTGGCACCTAGACACCACATTAAAAACCTGGGGACCTTTTTTTATTATTTTTCCAACATTTGGGGACTTTTCTGCAATTTTTCTAGGGTTTTAAAAAGATAAAAAAGGTCGCCTTCTGTGTTTCCTGTTGTTTCTCCTTTTCTTTTCATTTTCATTTTCTTTTTATTTTGTTGGTAAATTTGGAGAAAATTAGAGCACAGCACAAGGAGAATCGATTATTGCACTTTAAGGACACATATATGGAAGATTTTTTTAATTCGCACATATTAAAGTCATTAAAATCATTAGATTTCAACATGAACTTTATAGGCACGTAAATGTGTCAACTTTAAAAAAATAAAAAAATTAAATTAGAATATCATAAAAATTCATGTCGCTTTTTCCTTATTAATTTTATTTATCAAAATTCCGAAACACCCCTTCAAATTTAGTCCCCCTTTCAATTTCGTCCTCACCCAGAAATCTTTCTTTTTCCCGCTCAAGTTTCTGTGTGTACACACACAAAGTCGCACAGTATCTCCGATCGCACGGCGCCAAACCCCACCCATGACCCTCATGACCTCTCCCCCAATGGACGTAAGTAAATATTTCTTTTCTATACGAATAATATCCAAAAATATACGTATACAAAAATGTGTAACGCATGCATATATACGCATGAGTACAGCCGACCAAATTACTGTTTCTTACATTTTTTCACTTGCCAGATTAAATTTGTTAGGCTCGATGGTGTAATTTGAGCTTTAGCCTTGATTGTAATAGTGGGGGTCTTAAAATTGACCTGAATTTTGTGATTTAGTTACGACAAAAGCTTGAATTCTAAGCTTTGGGTTAGAAAAACTGTGCCCGAACTGATTAGATCCAATCTCTGTGGCATTTGGTTCTTTTATTTTTTTTAGCAGGCAGAGGAGGACGAGATGCTTATTCCTCATGCTGGTTTTGTCCCTGAAGGCCCCCAACCGATGGAAGGTATTGCCTTCTCTAGCGTAAATACTGGTAGCACTGGCGGACCTAGGGGTGGTTTAAAATTAGTATTTTGAGAATTTCGATAACATGCTGACTTTAAAAATTTTCCGACGATCGTACCGTAGTTGAATCTACAAATCGCTTATATCATCTCAAAACTCGTTTCGAGTACTACATTATGAGCATATTGAATAGTTCAAACAGATATCGAAAATAGTTAAAAATGCGTCAAACGTATGTTTTAAAAAGAGGCGTCTAACTCGTATTTTTTTAAAAAAAATTTAATTATTTCATTAACATTTATTATTTGTGTGATACAAATTTCTCTATGTAATTTGTATTATTTTATTAGAGAATTTATATGGGATATGACATAAAAAAATTTCAAAATTTTACATCCGAAAAAATAATGTTCCATGTAAATTTTCGAATGCAAAATTACGCGGTGTATAAATTTTTTTGGATATAAATTTTCCATTGTTCCAGCTTTTTTGCAAGTTAGCTTTAAATGTCTGCGTCCGCCGGTAGAACTCGTATATTTATCTTTTTCCTGCATTCTTCTGTTTTCTGATTCATAAATATGGGGTTTTGATAATTTTTGATTTATTCTAGTTGCACCTGTGGAAGTAACGGATATTGTGGATACCCAAGCAGCGGAAGATCCACCTTCAGCACGGTTTACATGGACGATTGAGAATTGTTCGAGGTTAATATCTTGATATCATTATTATTTCTTTGTGGGAGGATACAAATTGTAATTTATGAATTGATTTAGCCTGTTAACTATATTTGTCATAGTGTCCCTTGTTATTATTATTATTTCTGTGGAACTGAAGTAAATTACTTTGTGGTGGTCAGGAGAGTGCTTATATTTCCGAAAGGGAATAATGTTGAACATTTGTCGATGTATCTGAATGTTGCGGATTCTACAACTTTGCCCTATGGTTGGAGTTGATATGCCCAGTTTAGCTTGTCAGTGATCAATCAAATTCATAACAAATTCAATGTTACGAAAGGTAAGATTTTCTTGGTATTTACATGTTAATTTCAGTTGCAGATGTTTTTGATTCATAGATAGACTAGGTACTCTATATATATATATATATATTCTCATTTGTTCTATTACTCGATCACTTCTGTGACGGGGTAGACTTTTGCTTTCTTGAGTACAACTTTCTTTTGATTCCAACTTAGAAGTTTTTCTTTTCTAGTGGAAATTGGTAGTTTTGAATTTGGGTCGTCCAGAGTATCTTCAAGACATTGACATTGTATCAAGTCGTTTTCAGGTACTTAAAAATCAAATCCCTCGCCATAACCCCCAACCATGAGGGATCTCTCTCACTCTCTCATGTGCATACATGTACCTATGTTTTCTTCAATCTAATATTAATTTTACATCCCAGAGGAAATATTTATGGTGCTTGGGAACAATACCTTTGGTTAGAGCGCTCTGATAATGTTCCAAAACGGTCTTATGCAGCTAGTCAGGTATGCATTTGTATGAAACTTAAACTGAAGTCATATTTGGAAACTCGATTCATTTTCTGGCCTCACCAATTATTTTAAGGTAGAAAATAAGTTGAAATCTCGTCCACAGCGGTTCAATTCTCTCGTATGCAACATGCCCTGTATATTATTTCATTAATTAAAATCAACTCGATGAAATATCTGGCACAAGCTCATAGAATGAAGAGGACTATCACCATCAGGTTGGTGACTCGTCATTTTGAATGCCTATCTGAAGTCATTAGATGTCATAGAATGAAGAGGACTATCACCATCAGGGTGGTGACTTGTCGTTTTAAAAGCCTATCTGAAGTCATTAGATGGCGCTCCAATTAGTTAAATCAAGTATTTAATTAGATGCATGTTGGAAATAAGCTGAAACATAATGGTCCTTGAAGCTTTACATTTTGCGTTTCGATGCTATTTACTGGGACGTTCGTCTTTGAACTTTACTTGATGTTGCAGAACTGTCATACATATGAGAAACCTGTTAGGATCTACAATTAGTAAATATTCGTGAAATCAAAGCACGTCTGATCGGCAAAGCTTCGTCAACCATTGGGGTTTTGAACACTGGGCTGTAAATTTGTAGAAGTTGAATCAAAGACGAGGCAAGGCACAAGGCAATATATGAGCAGCTAGAGTTCCCGTTGATTCGTAATTCTTGTCTACAAAGGTGGTGGAGCATATGCAGCCTGTTGATATTCCTCACCCGGCCGCTTTCTCAAGCGTCCCACAACGGTATTGAAGGCATTCAGGTGGCATTTCCACTTGGTTCCCTTGAAAAGATTTTGGGTGTGGTTGTAATTCAGGCCCGGTCCTGAGACGAGGCGAGGCGAGGCGAGGCAAATGAGGCCGCCGCCTCAGGCCCAAAAGTGGAAGGGGCCTCAGCTTTTGGCCCAGGAAATTTTTTTATTTATTTATTTGAGATTAGGCCCAACCCAACTGGAGGCCCAATTCTAACATAAACCAACACCACTGAATCACGATTCACACTCCACAAATCACTCTCCTTCCCGCT